TTGCATCAAAATTCTCTGCCGTGACCGAGACAGAGGTTCATTTCATCCCAAACACCATCAAGATCTGATTTTTTAAATTTTCTCATTAAATCACAACTATTGAAAGGACAAGTAACTATTGAATTTTGATTTCAGTTTGACTGCAAAGTGCCTTACCTTTGATTGATAATTGTTCTCATGAAGGGTGTAGGAAGGAGGAAAAGAAAATCTAATCGACTAATCTAAACAAATGAGATAAAAAATTTTAAGTTTATGTGAAAGCTTGTTTTGGAGAATAAATAAAATTGTATAAATCCTGCTATTGCTTGGAAAATCGAAGCTACAGCTTCCTCCTTTTTTTCCTATGAAAAGGTTGCCTTTCCAAATAACAGAACACTGAAGTAATTTACGTGACTGATACGAGTATGTAGCTGTTGAATCATACGGATGTATCTAATGGCACGTGGGCATTTCAATAACTCAAATAGCGTCATATTACAGAACCTTACAATCTTTGAAAAAAAATCTTGATGTACCCATTTCGCACTAATGAATACCTCTGTATATCAATAATTAAAACTGCTATTCTCTTAAATAAACTGATTGACGCAGATAGTCCCTAGAAGGCGTCTTCTACCTATCATTTACCTGCACAGCACTAATTTCATCCATTCAAACTTCAATTGGAATTAGAGTTAGTGTTAGAGATTAACTCCTTCCACCTCCTTTCTTCCTCGTCCCTCCCCCTCCCCTTCGCATTATTTCTTGGCAGAAATTGTATTTTTCAGAACCATCTTAAAAAATCATAAAAACATTTATAAGGGAAAAGGGAAGGATGTATTAGCAGGAAAATCGTTCTCTGACACCCGTCAAGATTGTTTTTTTTTTGAACCTTCAGTCTTTTCCTCAGCTTCTTGTGACTGTCACACGCTTGGCTTCACATTATTTGAAATTTACAGAGCGAGATAATTTAAAGTATAACATTGCTCGTCAATCCTTCTATATCAGTCATACTGTACTTACATCCATTGTCTTACTGAAGCTCTCTACAACATTTTTGACAGAGAATGTTTTTTTGAGCGTCAAGGAATATGTACACTGCCAGTCTTAATTAAAGCCCATTAATTGAATTTGTGGAATTTGTTTACTCAACTCTCCAACAACATTTTGTAACAAGAACTATTTTTACTACCAGCTGTCTCTTATCCCACTAATTTTCTCCTCAAAAACATCTAAAAACAAATAAATTTTATTTTTACCCTTCGGTTTCAGGTGCATGCTCGATTTTGCCTTCTTTTATTACATTACTGTTTGCTCAATAGCAATCCTGCTCAATTTATTCATTATTCTTGCCAGTACTAGGCCGCACATAAGGTATAAATTTTCTGAACGTTTCCTTTCCATTCATTAACAGCTGTTAAAATTCAGACTCATGCAATAATCTTGATTGGTGCTCATTTTTTGAATTAAATACTTTCACGTTCGGTTAATCTGAAAATTTCTTTATTAGAAATTAAAGTGAATTATACAACTGAATATATAATATTCAATATTCTGGTCAGTACTAAGCGTAAGTAGGGTTAATTTTCCCGAGGCTATTTTCCTTTCTATTCATTGTAGCTTATAGAAAATTAGAAAAAAATGCTAATTTCAGTTGCTCTTATCTGTTAACTATTTCTGAAGGAAGCTATAAAAGATTTTTCGCTCAAAATATTCTGCATAATCGCAATCTGTAGCTAGCGTACTCAAAATTTTTGAACAAGACAAATATGAGCTTTTGTTTTGAACCTTTGGGCGATTTTTGGATTTCTAAGCAATGATTAGCAGTTGTGCAAGCAATTTTTTGGCTGAGGAAAACTTTTTTAATGTTCTCCTGCAAAATTGTTAGCAGATAAGGATAACAAGTTTGAAATCAGCGTTTGAGCCGCAACCTGCTGATGCATCTGAACGCCTGTTTCCGCTGCTTCCCATGTCTGCGAAGCGTTTTTCTGTAACTGACGCTTTTGATCTGTCGAAAATGGCTTAAACAACCTTTAAGAAATGCTCAAAGGTTCACAAATGTTGGTTGTTGTGAAGATGTCTCTGTCAAGTAATTATCTTTTGTGTTGGAGCAGTACTGAAAACCGTACAGGCCGTCTTTAGCAGTGTGAGATTAATCATCCTTCCAAAGAAGCGGATATGAAGAGCAGATTTAAGATAATTGCCTCGAGCTGTGTTCAGATTGAATTTCTCTTCTTAAATCGACATTTTGACAAAATACACTTTTTTCATTAGTGAGCAATATTACAAGATTTATTAAAAGAAGGACAGAAGAGAATGAGCAGTTCAGAATAATTAGTTATTTTATGATATTTTCACAGTTTTGAATGAATGTGATTAATTTCTACTTCAAATCTTCAGAGGGGAATTCAAATGGGTTTTTCTTGGTGCTGCTATCACAAACACCCTATTATCCTTCTCTCAACTCATTCTCATGCCATCTACATTGAAATGGCCTGGGAAAAACGAGTATTCAGTGGTTGTTACAAGCAATCCTCTGCTGCAGCAAGGGCCAAGAGGTAATTAAATCATTTCCTATTATTGCTTAAGAGTTCTTATATTGATATTTGTAGAATTGTGTCAATTACTTTTCGACTTCCTTTATTTTCGACAATTTGAAGCAGTTGTGCTTTCGATTTGTATTGTACCAGCAAATCGAGCCATTTCTGTTTGTTGGAAGCATATTGCACCTTCAAATGCGAAAATTTGGATTTTTGTTGGTAAGTGCTACAAAATTTAACGCTAAATACATTCAAAGTCTTGATTTTTAGCGATAATTCCAAACTTGCTACCATTGTTCATCGCCATGTTCAGTTATCATCTTGGAATGACCCGATTTGAAGATGTCACTACATTTCCCGAAAAGGCAGTTAACCTGTGGGATTTCAGAATTTTTTTCATTCAGTTTGATGGTTTTGTAATGAATTCACCACTTTTCTACTTACAGATTGGTAGCTCGAGTTGAGAGTGAGAAATATTGCACGTTGAAAAGCAATTATCGAAAACCTGGTGACATCATGACAACGGCATTCCTCATTTTCTGCCCATTCGCCTCCTACGTCATCACTATTGTACGTAATTACCTAATCCTATCTATAACATGATTATATGATCTTAGAAATCATTTCTAGTCTAGGAGGTAGCCTGAGATAATAACAGATATGTTTTAAGTTCAAATAGATGAGGAAGAAGTTCAGTAAGGGAGTGGGATTTTAGCGAAGAGGTCTATCAGCCGTGGCAAAAATTTCG